GCTGCACACCTAGGCTGCCGCTTTTAGCCCATCCTGGATTCAGATCTGATGTCAGCAGAGACAGCTCAACTCCTCCATCTGCCAAAAATACTCATTAGTGGATCGTTAGCCGTGGCCATCAAAATAGACTTGATCAGAAACACTCAGAGGTTCAAGCTCCTTATTTGGCGTTAGGAGGTTGACTCGGCGGATTCACGCGCACGACGCCAGATTCCAGGCCAACGTCATCTGCAGCCTCAGCAAAAACACAGAATCATAAAACAAGGCTTCGCTCTCTCTGTCTCTCTGTCCTTTCTCTTCAAAAGTCCATTTTTGTGGCCATTTTGATTCCGGCATCACATTTTGGCCAAACGTAGTGAACCCTAACGTGTCATTTCTGATGCTGCTTCCATTTTGAGCATGCGGTGCTTTCTGAGAGACGCTTTTCTTCTCATCACACAACCAGAGACTGTTTGTTTGTTTCACCATTCTGACTGAAAACCCAGAGACTTCAGAGTGTGGAAATCCCAGGAGAATTGCAGTTTTAAAAATACTCAAACGCTGCCATCGTCAACCATGGCTCGCTCACACTGACTGAAGAAGAAAAAACAGGAACACGTTATTCCTTTATTCTGCTGTTTGGCACAGAGCTGGTTTTTCTCACGGGTGACATTGCTCTTTACTCAGGGTGTCAGAGTATCAGATGCAGCATAAACACTTTAATAAAAGACAAGTGCACCCTGCTCAACATGTCTATTGCTTTCATCAGAGAGAGCAGCCAATGGACTGCAGAATCAAATTGACCAGCTTTAAGTCACCACATATAAACGTGTTTGTATGTGAAACAATACTGAACAGTTTTAGGATAGTATGTGAAATGTAGATCTGTTGGTTTAAACATTGGTTCCCAAACGTGACTGTGCTATGGCCGCCACATAGCATCAGCTTTTGTCTGATATGTAAAGAAGCTTTCTTTCTCTCATTTTAATTCATTTCCAACAATTATTACATTAGTTTCGTACAGAAGCCTCCTGCCTTTAGTCGGCCATGACAGGGCTGCATTCTGGACGGCTCCTTCGGTCTTTTCCTTCACATAAACTTTTCTATTTTGTGCTTTCTATGCTAGCTTGAGGAGAATGGCAGCTTCATAAATGTAATCAGGAATCAGGAAGATTACGCAGCCCAAGGGGGACAATGAACGAAAAAACAAACTTTCCCCTGGGCGCCAGATATTGTCTCGTTCTTAACGAAATAAGCACAAGACAATATCAGGTGCTCACGAGAAAGTATATTTACATTAAAAAAAAGTATTTATTTTTTTCCCTTCAATGTCTATTTGGGGGCTCCTCAACAGATAGATCATCTATTTATTTTGTTGCTTTTTCCCCCCTCCTCATCTGTTTGAGCGCCCCCCGGTGGCAGCACTTAGAAAAACACTGACTTAAAAAAACTAATGACTATTAAAAGGGTTCTTTAATATTAAATGGATTACCGAAAAGTTTTAATCACCCATCTATCTTCCAGCATTCTCGCTGTACCTTATAATAACAATAATAATAATATTACTAATAATAATAATAATAATCAATGTTCAACAAACGAACACTTGTATGAACACTGCTGTCTGGATCCCCCTGTCCGATCATAGGAGCAGATCAGCAACAGAGACGGGAAACACGCCCTTTAACTCCGGCATCAAGTGGGACGTGACGACACAACCTGGACATTCAGTCTGACTGATTTCCCGGCCAAACAACCACGAGCCCCCCGTAAGGTGGCACGAAGGCGCGCGCGCGCTACTTCTGTGTGCTGCGACAAGTTGTTTTATTCGCAGGTGTTGATGGCGCGAGACAGTCAATAGGAGCGGTGGCGCGTGCGGGGCTGTTTCCCCGCGACCAGAGGAAAGAGCTTGATGGAAGTACCGGGAAGTTGTTCCTCTGTTCACACGAAGCCGCGTCTGTTAGGATAACGAACATTTCCCGTCACAGATATTAACCAACACTGCGTTAGTCATGTTATGAACGAACATAACATTCTTCTTCTTTTTCTTCTTTTAATGAATTCTGACCTTTGATGTCATGACGACTCAGATGTGCTGTTTTCCTATATAGACATATATGTACATAGTGATAATACAAAATGAAACATTTAGGCTTTTTGTAACGCCTTTAATCTTCAAACTGATCACAAAATGAAGACATATCAATTAAACACGAAATAAAAAGCGGAGTGAAAGCTCTGGGTAGAACCGACACTGACTGACATGGACGCGGTTCCGTCCGTCTTTACCTGCAGGCTGCTCTGCTGTCAGAATGAAGCCAGCAGGTGGGTCACTTTACAGAGCCCGTTTAGGTCCAATGATCAAAGACCGAAATGACATAAACTACTAGAACGGACACGTGTTCATCTGCGAAGCCAACCGAGACGCAAGTTGAATTGATGGAAGCGAGGCTCAGCTGGAGGATGGGAGCGGAGCTCCGGTCTGCGCGCATGCAGCGCACATCCTCTGCGCGCGTCGCACTCACCTCTGCGCATCTCTTCTCCCGGTGCGATTCCAAAGAGCCCTCTTCTCAAAAACCTTCCCCTGGTCTGGGCATTGTAAGCCGGGTGACGAAAATCCAACTTTCCAGCAACAGTAAATCCATCGCAGAGAAGCAGCTGGGATTCCCGCTCCGCCCCGAACCTCAGCCGGGCATCCTCGCCTCACACGGTCCGATCCGCTTTCGGCCGGAGCGCAGCGAGCACGGGCAGAGAGGCGAGGAGGCAGGGACGACGCGCGCGCCAGGGGGAAGGATGCTATCCAAAATGCGCACGCGGGTAGAGTGATAATGGAGACAAAGGAAAGAGAGAGAGAGAGAGAAAGAGAGACAGAGAGAGACAGAGAGAGAGAGAGAGACGCGCTCTGGGCTCAGTCCGCGTCAGGACTAAGAAGCGCTCCTCCTGAACGAGGCTCATTTAAGCCGCGCTGCTGCTGACATCAATGAGCGGCTGCCTGTCAAAGCGCAACTCCACGCTGGGCTTCGTCTTCCGGTTGAGATGATGTTTAACAAATGAGAAAAATCAAGAAGACGTTCCAATTATAAGTCTTTTTTTTTTCTTTTTTCGGATTGCTGATTCATGGATGGTTAAAATTTTTTTTTTGACTTTTGATTTCTATCATTAAAGTTTCACAAACCGCAATAAATAAATGTGTAAAAATAAAAGCAAACGTTGAAATGAAGTCGTGCCTTCATTTCACGCCGTGTGCGCAACCATCAGGCAGGTTGTGCTTCCGCTCCGTCAGGAGGAAATGTGTGCAGAATTAATAGACGATGTTAGTGTGCAAATTATGACGCAACTTAATGAAACTTTTCCATCCATTTATCGACTTGAGCAAGAATAAACGTGACAAACAACAGAAACAGCCTCGTGTTTCAGTGAGGGTCACTGAGGCTGTCAGGGTGTTGACCTGTTGATCAACTTTCTTTCACCGTTCAGATGAACCTCCCGTTTCAAAAGAGTCCAAAGAATATCAATATATTGATCAATATATTGATCTATTCTGCCTGCATTAAAACCCTGCGTGTTAAAATTCAAAGATGCAGGTAAGTGTCTTCTATAAACTGACAGTAGGTGGGGAAATGATTTTGAGCTCATCCTTCACCAGATAAAGCCCAGCTATAGCCAGTCTTCAATGCCACCAGCCCACAGCACTACCACGTCTAACGCCTCTACCTTGTTGGGATGTGAGCTGAAGTGGAGTTCTTTTCCTGCTGGTCCAGACAGTCACATTGTTTCGCTGTGGTTTCTCAGGTTTCCCCTCTTTTTCTGAAAGTTGATGATTCCTAGTATGTTTTCTTGTATTTGCTCTATTCTTCTCTCCCTTTCTTGCTTTGTCCGTCTCCTTGTCCACTGCACTTGAACTTTTACACAGAGTTATATGGAGCATCATGGTGAACGTTGTGATGTTCCACTTGTGAAAGTAAATCTGCGGGACTTCATGTTGACACTCGGACACCTTTTTTATGCATCGGTTAGTCAAAACATCCAAGTAGAAATTACTGAAGAAAAAGACACAGAGTTCAACTCAAACACACATTCAAAATATATTCACACATTTACAAAATGCTGTGCTTCCTGCAGTCCCTCTGGAAAGACATTTTTAACCTCGACAAGACATTCACTAAAAATAACACAAACTTGCTAACATAATTTACTTAAAATTCAAGTAAAGTAACTTCTACATATTTTCCTCTCTGTTGAATCTGACATCAGCTAAAAAAAGCTAAATTTATCATTTCACAGTGACATAATTAAATGGAAGCACCAAATAATAATAACCTGCATGTGGATATGAACATAAATGTTTTCTCCACTATATAAACATGGCCAACTGCAGACCTTATGCCTTTTCATATTCATTAACATTACAACCCATCTAAAGTTTTCATGAATAGTGACAGTAACCATTAACTGAACTAGTAAAGGGAGGATTTTCTTTTTCTCAGAAACAAAGTGGAGGAAGGGAATTGAGGCAGGTTTACATTTAGAAAGAAATGGCCAATATTTCATATCTTCAAAAAGGTCTTTATTAAAATGCATGCTTTTACTTTTTAAAGATTTCCTATTCTATTCAGTCTATTCCGGTTTACCTTCATAATATCCTCTTCCTCTTCCCCCTCTGCCCCCAGGCAGCCAAGCTTCAGTTCAGAGCCGCTCATGGTGAGCGGCTCACCGTCGCTGCAGAGCAGGAAGGGTTGACTCTCACCACGTCAGGCTGTTGAGCAGGTCGGTTCCTGAAGTGTGGCGAGGAGCCCACTGGGATGCTAAGAGCTGCCTCTGGGGGTCCTCTGTAAAATTAAACGCCGTTTAATTTCACTGATGCTGAACTCATTACACATTTAGACCTTCGTTCCTCCAGCTTGCCAAACACGGTGTCCTTCTGCAGCGTCTTCAGGGGAGAAACGCGCAGAGGCGGTTGACGTGGAATAACTCATAAAATAAATAAATGAGTAAATAAATAACGAAAACATAAAGCAGACTCACACGAGAAGAAACCTTTATTCTCAGCCAACATGTAAGCTAAACACGGTTAGATGCCTGAACATTCATTTGCAAGCAGAATTCACCATACAGGATCAATTACAGCAAAACACAACCACGAATAATAATTAGCTTAGAAAGTGCGAACATCGACGGCGTTTAGCTCATCGGTGGAAAATAAATAAGATGGCAAGTCGGAGGACATGGCTCAATCAAGCTTTTGAAGCTTGTGTGACTTTTACAAAAACATATATGTTTTGTTAAAATGATGATCATTATGTGGTGACAGAAATGCAAGACAAATAATCTGTTAAAAACAAATAATACAGCTCCTTTACCTTCTCCCAGAACTAACAGAAATACACCACCCAGTCAGAAACAACCAATCAGAGACAGGAGGAGGGTCTTAGTGCTGTCAATCACTTCAGTTAGCATTGTAACCAATGACTACAGAGAAATTGTTTTTCTGCAATGGTAAGTTGTTTATGCACCACTAATATATTGAGCAGCAAGTACATGAGAATGATTGACAGCGCTAAGCCCTCCTGCTGGCTTAGCGCCAGCAGGAGCCAGCAGGAGGCTCTGATTTTTTGTTTTTGATCAGGGGCGGAACAGCATTAGTAGATCACAGAGGAAGTGGAGGAGCACAATATTTTCACAGATCATCTCTCTCATACGAAACTGTCACAACATGATGGCAGTTTTAATAAATATGGAAAAAAAAACAACATATTTTTGCAAAAGTGAAATGCTTCAGCTTTAAGAAGACAGAAGAATCCAGTTCCAATCACAGTAAAGTGGACTTCGCTCAGCAGGACCGACCGTGTTCAGACTGCTCCCTCAGCCCGGTGCAGACGTGTTTGCAGATACTTTTTTTTTTTTTTGACTTCTGTGATAAGCTTTGATACAATCAGCTGGGGAAAATCTGAACTTGCAGTCGGCAAAGCTTCGACTTGTACCGATTCACTTCTATTCATTTTCCATTCAGCTTCGGGTGAATCTGTTCAAATTCACTGAAAAAACCAGGAGAGAGAGAAAAAACAACTGCAAAACTAAAAAGAAATAACATGGATTTCAAGTTAACATTGCCCAATTTCAACACTTGACCCAACAGATGCTAACCTTTAATGAAAGTTTCACTGAAGTAAAAACCATAGCAACAAGCAGATGTGGAGTTACTTGCAAACACAAATCTTTGCTGAGAATCTGCTGCTTAAACAGCGCTCCCCGTCAGGACGCGCTTCTAACACTGGAATGAATAAATCAAATGGAACATAAATATTTCACATCCGACTCCTCGACTGAAAAGGATATAAAAAAAAAAAATAAAAAAAATAAAAGAAAAAAAGAATCACTTTAGGGCACAAGTATCAATTTATTGGCCCCTGAAATGAGTGCGGGTCAAACTGAGCGCCTAGGATGAGAAGGGGGGTCGAGAGGTCAAGGGGTCAAGGCGTTCCCGTGGTGCAGCGCTGCTCCTTCACATGGCGTCAAAATGGAAACGGTGGGCTTCCTGCCTTTTCTCTCGGTCGTCTGCTTTCTGTGGGACACAGAAGAAGACGGCACAAAGAGTCAGTGGCGTTGCTGAGGTGGACCTGCCATGACATCAGAGCAACCTGTACCAGATGTGTTCTGCTACAACTCTACCTTATGGAAAAAACTGCAGTTTGACAACAAAAACAATGACAAACATCTACAGTAATTTAAAATACAACCAAAATGAACCACAAACCTTTAAATCTAACCAAATTGATAACTATGATTGTATGATTAGGTTGAAATAATTGTATTTATTTTTTTGTAAAGTGTCATGAGACGACATTTGTTGTGAACTGGCGCTATGTAAATAAATTGGATTTAATATTTTATGACATGAACATAAACGGTTGATTCTCATTGTTCCTTATTGTTGCTGTTTCATTCTGGGTTTCTTATTCTATCTTTTTTTTTTTACTCTTTCAAGTTCTGCACAAAAACTTTTGAAAAGACTGTTTGGTTTGTGCACAATCTGCAAATAAAGATCTTATCTCGTAATGTACAAACATGCTTCAATAGTAGAATTATGGAATATTATGACCCCATTTACCAAATATAAAAGGTTGGAAGGCACTTTGGAGAAACATCAACAAACAAAACAATCACTTGAAGTTTCATTACAATGACATTTTCTTTGTAGAATGAAAGGCAGCTGATTTTTATTTGATGTGAGGAGATTTGGTGAACAAAATGCAGTTTAGCACCTCAACTATATGAAGTCAGAGCTGTGACACAAGCAGATTGTTGCTTTGAACTGTGGTGCTAAAAAACCCCCCCAAAAAACAAAAAGAAACAGAAAAAAAAACAGATTTCAACATATTTGTTAACTATTTCTATAATATTAATCTGCAGAAGGAAATCTGACACATAGTGTTTTTCCTCCCAGTCTGTTTTGGCAACTGATTTGAAAAAAAATGGTTAACAGCAGGTTATCATTACATGGATGCTCTCTTTTGTCCACTGAAAATGGATAAATATTAAAAAACAAAAACAAACAAAAAAATACTTTCTTTCAAGTCAGTGGTCAGCAGTGTGTGCTGCACCAACATCAGGCCTGCTGCTGATTCTTTAATTGAAAGAAAGTGCAGGTGGTGTTGACCTTTGATCCAGAAGAACACTGTGTGTGTGTGTGTGTCTGTGTGTATTTTGTAAAGTTTCATTTCTGACTCCTCACATCCTGGGGATGTGAGGTGTTTCTGCCCCTCCCTGCATTTTAAATGAGCTCAGGTTGTGAACAGGCAGCAGTGCTTTTGGATCTTGTTTATTTGAGTTTCCTCTCCACGGATGGCAGATAAACCTGAGTCGCAGAGATGAAGTGTGTGCACAGTCAGAGGTTTTCAGAGTGTCACTGACTCCTGGCGGGGATATTTTTTCTTTGTTTACTCAGGTGCAGCAGTTCCGGTTTTCAGGCTCGTCATCCGTGCATCGAGATTTCACAGATCTCTTTGACTCCTCAGTGACGAAATCCAACAAAAACAATCTGTCAAATTTCACAAAATCTGTTAATAAAAAAAATAAAAATAAATTTGTGTAGACTTTCACAAAGCCGGGAGGAGAAGGGTGTTGATACTTTAAACCAAACCAGCAGATTCTGGTGGTTTTCATCAGGAGGATTCACACCTGACCAGACCAGACCAGACCAGTTCACTTCCTCCAATTCCTGTGGCAGTGTCAAAGGTCATCTGAACTCAAGTCAGGATGGAAGAAAGAGGGAAAAAAGAAGACAGAGACAAAAAGAGAGAAAAGTAGAAAGAGAAAAAGAAAGACAAGAAAAGAAAGAGAGCGAAGAATGTGAGAGAAAAATAAAGTAGAAAGAAAGAGAAATCCTCTTTCTTTCTTTCTACTAGAAAAATAAAGAACAAACTAAAGAAAACGAAAAAAATTAAAGGGAAACACAGAAAGAGAAAGCAAGAAATAAAACAATAAACAAGAAAGAAGGAAGGAAAGAAAGAAAAACAAGAAGGAACTAAAAAATGAAACAAAAAGAAGCAAAGAAAGAAAGGAGAACAAAAACAAAGAAAGAGAAAGAAACAGAGATAACGGAAGAAAAAGAGGAAGAAACAGAAAAGATCAAAGAAAAACAGAAATGAAACAGAGAGAACAATGAGAAAAAGAAAAAGAGAAGCAAACAGGTAAGTTATGTCTGACTGACAGTCGTGTGGTTTCTCCTTCTTCTGTTTTGGTCGCTGTGCGTCGGTCAGCGCTCTGCCTCAGAGGAGCAGCTGCTGTGACTCCATGACCTGGTCCAGGTGGTCTGGTCAGCCTTCGGGAAGTGCAGTGTGAAAGTGAACCAGACCAGAGGAAGTTGTGAAATATTTCCGCATTCCTGTCCAAGTGCACAAACTTCCCTGGACCATGGAGGTGTGAAAGCATGCTAATGATATTTCACACAGGACCTGCAACTTGTGGAACAAACTGCTGTCAGAACTGCATTCAGATTTAATTCCTCTAAGTTTGCAAAATGACGCAGCAATGTGAAAAATGATTTACACATTTCTGAAAAGGCAACAAAATCAAAAATAAATTGCAATTCATAATGTCTGATTATGGCAGAAAACTAAATGACGAGAGGGCGGCGTTTTAGAAAGCTGAAGTGTTATTTTCTGCAGAGCAAACAGACTCATTCACTAATGAATCCCTAATATCATAAAAAACAACATATGTCACCAGGAGATGACACATGCAGGTTTAATGGAGGCTGTAAATAATGTTCATCACCCAAAATGAAGCTGGTCAGACGATTGAGATGTGACAAATAACCTCCTCTGCACTCCTAACACAAAAACTAACCAAAAGCAAGTGTTGAAAAAGGAACAAAGCAGTGAACACCGTTTAGAAACACCGGATCGTTTCTAAACTAAAAGCTAAGAAGATGGAGGAAAACCCCAATTAACCAAAGATAACACAAGAAGATCCTCCACAAAGGAGAGGTTTTTGTCCTGTCTGAGGACTAAACACAAAGGATAGTCAAGTGTTTAAATGGCCTAGTCAAAGTCCAGACATAAATCAAATTGTTAATCTATGTCTTGAAGTCCATACGTACTTTCCATTCAATTTGACACGAGGTAGAAATGTTCTGCGAGGCACTGTATTTAGACACACTAATAAATAATAACAAAAAAACAGAAATCAAGTGGCCGGTTTGTCTAAAAAACCTGATAAATTATCAGTCGATACGCCAATATACAGTTGAAAGAACCTGGAGTGGCATTTCTTATGAGGAGATTGTTCAACACATACACACGCTTTTATCCTTGAGTTATCCGCCAAACAGCAGTTGACGATAAGTGGCGAGCATTTATCACCTGGTCACTGACACGGGCAGGAAGTAGGGATGGTTTGGTAAGATGAAGAATAAATCAGCTCACTCATAATGTCAACAGCATGTGTTGGAAATTGGCCAAATATTCCATATAGAATAATCCATTTGAAATAATTGTGTATGTTCAGAAACTTTACATCTATAAAAGAACAGCTTGAGAAGCTCTACAGTCTGAAAGCTGTTTCGTAGCAGAGCTACTGTCAGCTTTGTCTCCACTGCTGCAAAGATTCAAGACTGCAAATTTATTCCCTGGCAGCCTTTTCACGTCCGGAAAGAACATTTGTATCCACAAACAGCTTCCATGTAAGTGTGAGAAAATTACCCGAAGAAGCACTTAGAAATGTGTGATCATATTCTGTAATTTTGTGTTTTGACCAGGTGGACATAATTTGAACCACTTTGTACTGTTAGCAATTTCACCAACAGGAAAGGCTCACGTTTTAAAATGTGTTTTGTATGAAACATTTTTATTGCCATCATATTTTTGTTTAGTACGGTGAATAAATGTCGAGAACAAACAAGATGGGTGATTTCTTTGCGTATCACTGCAAGCGTTTGAAGCTAGTCTATAGTTAGTTAACACCTTAGTTTCATCTGTTTTCTTTTAGCATAAATGCAAATTAGCTGGTTCCAGAAGATAAAGCTAACAGTAAGGCTAACACCAAAGCAAAGTACTCTTGTCTTAAAGAATTTCTTATTTTTTTTAAGATCAAATGCTATTTTAAAGTAAAGTAAAGTTTGCATTGACAGATTATTTATACAGAAGGTTATGTCTACCGACACTATTCACTTTCTTCAGATTACATTTGGTTTGCTGCTTCGGTTCCGTCTAGTCGGACAAGCTATTAGCTTCAGCCTCCTGGGCAAGCTAATTTGAATTTAAATAAATTGAATATGCCAACAGCATCATCTACTGTAGGTAAAATATTACCTCCTTATAAATGTTAACTGTGACATAACCTCACTAACAAAATCCAAAACTGTGACAATATGGAAGTCCATATTTTAAAGACTGAGACATGAAAACAAGTTGCTAATTAAAAGTGGCTGAAAATAAAAACAAAGCGATTTAATCATAAATCATTCAGACAGTGCAATCAATATTCCAAGATCAGAGACGACAACACATTAGAAAACAGGCATCAGCTTTTTAAAACATTGCTGAACATATTGACTAATCATCAGAGAACATTGCTTCTAAAAATCCAGATTCCAGCTCTTCTTCAGCCAAACCGTGCATTCATGGACGGACCTCCCTGATGTTGAGTCCAATAGATGGACAGTGACATGTTTACTCCATTTTTTTTATCCTGTCACTTTCAGTGTGAAATAAAGCCTTGATCTCTCTTCAAATGAAGGCCTGTCTTATATTGAATGCTGTCCTGTTCTGATGCTCAACCGTTTCAGGAGCTGATGGACTGATTTCCTTTAGACGACTGATCCACTGCGGACTGATGTTGCTGTAATTGACTAGCCAAGGCGCGCCACCTCATAACCAACCTGAGGCTTGAATAATTATTAGGCAGCGCTGCATTGATGTGTTTCTGTCAATAGATTTTATAGACATAGTGTTGAGTTTGTGTCTGAAAGCAGGTAGGTAGCTCCATTGGAGCATGACTGGGATTAAATGCCAGCTAATTAAATTTGACCTGTGTGAAGATCAGATTGATTAGATTCTGCTT